CTGGAATTTTGTTGGCTACTATGGTTTGACGCGGGCTAGAGATGTTTGATGTTAGTGTTTAGCGCGGGCCGGAAGTTGTTGGGTGTTAGAGTTCAGGATAGTACACCATAGTACGTCATAGTATATTTACAATCTGCTGTATTATTTAACAAAAACGAAAAAAAATATGTTTTTCGTAATTTTTAATATAATGTTAAAAGTAAGGAAAAACTAAGTTGTTTATAATAATGTGAAAAAAGGTTGGAAGGAAAAAAGAAAAAAATAAATAAAGATGACAAAGTCTGTAAAAATAAAATAAAATAAAATGTGTTAGACGAAAAATGAAGATATTATATGCATAACGAAAAATGATAATTGCCATTTGAGTTTTACTTAATGCAAACTTTGAATTTGTGAGCGGAGGGGCATTTTTGGAATGAATTTAATAAAGGATGTGAAACTAATGTTTTGTTTGGTTTGTCATTTAGTTCTAATAAGTTATCACCAACGACTTATATCTTAAGGCCCCGTATAAGGGTGCATATAAAAATAGGAGCCTGTTTGGAATGAATTTAATAAAGGATGTGAATCAAATATTTAGTTAGGTTTGTTATCATAAACTTATATCTTAAGGCCCCGTCTAAGGTTTTACTGGTCATATATAAAAGATGCAGTGGCGGAACAAGCATAAGGTCAGGGGGTGTTCATGCCCCACCCACATCTCTGAAATCCTTATTATTATATATAAAATTTAAAAAATCAATCGTGTATGATAGCATTAACGACCTCCTCTTATAATTTTTTTAATGCATTCGTTCCTGTGGATTTAAAATCATGGCTCCACTTACATGTGATGCATAATTATAAAATTGAGCGATATTTTGAGAGGTATACATGTAAAAACAAAGAAAAAAGAAAAGAAAAAGAAAACTAAAAAATGTAAATAAAACAAAACAATATATATAGTGCTTATCCTCTTGTATAGAGCCTTTACATCCAAACTTTCAGTCATTATAAAGCGCACCAAAGTGCTAGGCGTGTTATCTTTATTCTCAATATGTGCAAGTTGCCATCAATTTTTCATACTAAAAAATGAGGAATATATTAATTTATACACTTGTATTAATAGTTTCAGTAGTATACCTGCAGTCAAAAGGTGATAAACCTCTTCATGAAATTTTGATAAAACTGTTGCCCTCCACCTTTACGTTAATGACAAGTTTGATTATCCGCCGCCCAACCAGTAATCGTAATTAGAGAAATTCGAGCACATTTGTTTGTTTACGACAAACAATGGCGGCATATTGACCGAATATAATCGAGGAGGGTAGATAATGTGTAACGTAAGAATCATCATATATTTCAAGACAATGATAATTACTTATAAGTTAACTTAATTACTCGTCAACTACCTTAACCGAAGTGGCAAAAAGAATAAGAAAATGACATGCAGGCACTGCACGCAGCTTTTTTATATATTTACAGACAAAGAAAAAAACTGATTAAAAAATATTGATCATATACATATCAATTATCATGAGAGCTATATAACACGCAGTTTGATAATACCACAGCAATTTTTGACGTACCTGCATTGATATATACAGATGCAAACTGCTTCTCTCTTCATCTGGGACCAGAACATTTGCCTTTCTTCCTTAAAACAAGTCTTTCTAACCTGATAGATGATCAGAAAAAAGGGCATATATATATATATATATATATATATATATATATATATATATATATATATATATATATATATATATATAGAGAGAGAGAGAGAGAGAGAGAGAGAGAGAGAGAGAGAGAGAGAGAGAGAGAGAGAGAGAGAGAGAGAGAGAGAGAGAGAGAGAGAGAGAGAGAGAGAGAGAGAGAGGTGTGTGTCTTCTTATTTATATATTATTTTTCATCCCATATGCAATTGTACTGACAAGAAAGAAAGAGTAATGATGATGTTATCCATATATATTCCAGATAGATAGCCGTTACGTTATTGACTTGGGTTGAATTCAAAGCATGCGAATGCGAGGGAGGGCCCCTGCAGTCTAAAGCACGCAAATTAAATGGTGACAATTGTTTTTTAGGAGACAATAATCATTGGGCGTGCTATAAATATACATTGATAATGTTCCCACATTTTCAACACACACCCCGCACACTGTGATTGTCTCTTAACTGACATTATTTCTCTGCATTAAGGAAACCATATGCCGACAATGTCTGATGCCGAATGTACTTGTTAAAAGAAAATCACAACAATTTATTAATTAACGATTTTCTTTGTTTGGTTTTGATGGGTTCAATTCGGGAATATGGGCCGAATTACATTGTTGGGCCTATTCTCCTCCGTTTGGGATTTGTTAGATGAGGAGTTTGTTTAGGTTAATTGGGCTTTTTTGTTAATATTTCAAGATTTTGAAAGAGCTCGAACCCAAGGATACGTTTGTATGCGGTTCGGCATGAGAATGTTGAAATTTAACAACGCACTTTGTAGAGGAATATCCGGGTTTTTGGCACTTTGCATCTTTAAATTACACCATTTTGGCACATTGCACCCTTAAATTGTAAAATTGGCTGATTGCATCCTTTAAACATAAATTGTTTGGCACTTTGCACCCCAAATCACTTTTGACTTAGAAAAATTACCTGCAACTTGCTGAAAACCTGGAAGATGGACAAATTTGTAATTTTCTAATTATCTATCATCTTCATACAATTCTTAATCATCGTTCCACCATTTTTATCTTTCGTCATTTAATCAAAAAATCTTAAATTCTTCTTAGCTATTTCTATTTGCCCTAATATGTAAATCTGAACCAAAACTCAAGAATGGCAGGAATATATAGACAAGAGTCCGATAACACACCTTCAGAAGCTCAAGTTTTATTCCATGGTAACGCTATTTTTTTTAATCATTTTTCATATCCAAACTATTCAATGGGAGCACAAAATTCCTCACATCATGAAATTAATAGGCACCACCTCTCTGCCACCAAATAAACCTCCCAATAGCCTTATTTTGTCATTTGACGATTAAAAAAAAATTGAGTAAAATTTCCAGTTAAATTATT